CCAGTGTTCATTAACCAATCATTGCACTAATTATTCGAACGCCTGCTCAAACAGCCAGGTCTTCACTTTTTTTGCGGAATACCATTAGAGATGGTGCTAGTCTAATGACTATCTCTCGTCCCCACCAGCCGTGCTTGAGAAGCAGGCGGGATCGAGAGCAGGGCCTCCCCGGAAGATCTCAAAGTCCTGGTGGGTTCATAGGCAGAGATGCAGTCGGATAGGTAGCTTGGGCCGGAACCGTTTAGGGCTTTAAAGGCCAACGCCAGCACTTTGAATTGAGCCCGGTAGCAGATCGGTAGCCAGTGGAGTTGGCGCAACAGGGGGGTTGTATGCTCCCTGCACTCCGCTCCTGTTAAAATCATGGCTGCCGAGCGTTGGACTAGTTGGAGCTTCCGAGCCGTCTTCAAAGGCAACCCCACGTAGAGAGCGTTGCAGTAGTCTAAACGGGATGTAACCAGAGCGTGGACTACTGTGGCCAAGTCAGACTTCCCAAGGTACGGGCGCAGCTGGCGCACAAGTTTTAACTGTGCAAATGCTCCCCTGGTCACCGCCGAAACCTGGGGTTCCAGGCTCAGCGATGAGTCCAGGATCACACCCAAGCTGCGAACCTGCGTCTTCAGGGGGAGTGCAACCCCGTCCAACACAGGCTGTAACCCTATGCCCTGTTCGGCCTTACAACTGACCAGGAGTACCTCTGTCTTGTCTGGATTCAATTTCAATTTGTTCGCCCTCATCCAGACCGTCACAGCGGCCAAGCACCGGTTCAGGACCTAGACAGCCTCCTTAGTAACTGGATCTCTGTCAGTAAGTGCAGCGATTTCAGTATGACAATACTGTACCATGCTGCTTCTTAAACAGTGGGTCCCAACCCCAAATGAGACTTCCTAAATTTAATGTTGGGGTCACAAAAAATTTAGCAACTGAAAAAGGTTCTGGAATGCCTGAGTCACCTGAGGGCTGAGAAAAGGGGTATATAAATAAAGTAAATAAATAAATAAATAAATGCCACCTAGATATTTACATGAACCTGTTAATAAAATCATGCAGTGAACTCTGCAGAAAATGCTTCAGCTGTACTTCATAAAAAGGAAAATCAGCCAATTTAGCAAACCTTGCAAATCCTGAGTTACCAATAAATGTTTTATTTTTATACCTATTTTATATACCTATATACCCAGGATCATACAAAAAAATTGAAAGAAGGGGATCACAAAAAGATTTCTCAGGCAGAAGGGAGTCACGAGTAGAAAAAGTTTTAGAAGCCCTGACATACTATATAAACCACGTGTCAAACTCAAGGCTCGTGAGACAAATCTGGCCCATCGTGTCATTTTATGTGACCCTCCAGATGCTGGACTACAACTTCTGTATTCCTCATCTTTAGATATCATGATCAGAAATTATGAGAGCTGTGACACAATAACATCTGGAAGGCACTTGGCTCTATTTAGTCAGGAGAGTGGAGTTTGAATTTAGGTATAAGACTTAAGATAAAGCCTACAATGACTGGCCAATGCAAGGGCAATTATTCCCCCAACAGCATCCATGATCCAGGATGGTTTCCCATCCTTACAATGGTAAAAAATAGAGCCTGATTAATTCCAGGAACTATCCTTGTTGGAATTAAGCTGATTTTATTTCTTGCCATTTTCAGGATGGGAGACTACCTGGGAATTCCTTCCATAGGCCACTTTGAATTGTATGTGGAGGAAAAGTAAATGTGTACAGAGCTTGGGGTTAAGGCCATGCAGGTTGGAGATCGTGCAGCAAACCACTCCCAAAATTACATTTACAGGTTGTGAAATATACCTGTTTTAAAAAGCGATTAATTTGACAAGGAGTTTTTCTTTGTTTGTTTTGCAATTTGAACTTGAATCTATCCACAAGGAGGCCTGCAAAGCTGTCGTGATATTGCCTTCTCCCCCAACATCTCAACTGTTTCCCCTGCTATAATACAATTTGAGGCTGAGAAACGGAAGTTGCTAACACAAGCATATCAAAACCTTTGGTCTCTTTGCAGTCAGCAAGATTCCATGAAGAAACAATGATGTAATGACCGTGATGTCTCAATGGCTGTTTGTTTTGCTCTTTACCCTTCACGCGCTGCCCTGCCTCTGCAAGTATAAGTAGTGTGTATACACAAATCATTTGGCTCTCCTCTGGACTCCCTTCCTCAGCTGCCTGTTTTAAATCCACTTTTCTCAGAAGCCAAAATTAACAAGCATTCCCACACCTACACCAAAGTGTGGCCTGGAGCAGCTGGAAGTATATTCAATAATGCTAGGTTTGGACTCATTCTAGGGCAGTGTTTCTCAACCTGGGCGTCGGGACCCCTGGGGGATCACGAAGAGGTGTCAGAGGGGTTGCCGAAGACCATCAGAAAATACAGTATTTTCTGTTGGTAATGGGGGGTTCTGTGTGCTAAATTTGGTCCAATTCCATCATTGGTGGAATTCAGAATGCTCTTTGATTGTAGGTGAACTATAAATCCCAGCAACTATAACTCCCAAATGTCAAGGTCAATTTTTCCCCAACCCCACCAATGTTCACATTTGGGCATATTGAGTATTTGTGCCAAGTTTGGTCCAGATCCATCACTGTTTGAGTCCGCAGTGCTCTCTGGAAGTAGGTGAACTACGACTCCCAAACTCAAGATCAATGCCAATGGCCACCAAACCCTTCCAGTATTTTCTCTTGGTCATGGGAGTTCTGTGTGCCAAATTTGGTCCAGTTCCGTCATTGGTAGAGTTCAGAATGCTCTTTGATTGTAGGTGAACTATAAATTCCCAGCAACTACAACTCCCAGATAACAAAATCAATCCCCCCAACCCCCACCAGTATTCAAATTTGGATGTATCGGGTATTTGTGCCAAATTTGGTCCAGTGAATAAAAATAAATCCTGCATATCAGATATTTACATTACGATTCATAACAGTAGCAAAATGACAGTTATGAAGTAGCAACGAAAATAATTTTATGGTTGGAGGTCACCATAACATGAGGAACTGTATTAAGGGGTCGCGGTATTAGGAAGGTTGAGAAACACTGCTCTAGAGTGATATTACTCCAAACCTGGGACATTATAATTCATTTGGGGAGGAAAAGGAAATCTATCACAACTCTTAATACAGGACAAAAAGGAAAAATAACAGAAGTAATTAAACAGTATATTTATATTAGGAAAAGCACGCTTAATACACTGGGGTGTAAGAAGGTCCTTCCAAGAAGATCTTCCAAAACCCAAGAACTATGTCAATGTGGGAGTTCTCCGAAGAGTTGGCTGTGCCAAACAGCTGCCCAATTTCTGCATTCATTCCACACTGGAAATGAGCACAGGATATGGATGACGGCCCAGAGAAACCAAAGAGACATCTTGCATCCTCTAAGTCAATCTACACTAGGCATGGGCAAACTTGGGCCCTCTGGGTGTTTGGACTCCAAGTCCCAGCATTCCTAACAGCCTCAGGCCCCTTCCTTTTCCCCCTCAGCCGCTTAAGCAGCTGAGGGGGAAAAGGAAGGGGCCTGAGGCTGTTAGGAATGCTGGGACTTGGAGTCCAAAACACTCGGAGGGCCCAAGTTTGCCCATGCATGATCTACACTATCCAATTAATGCAGTTTGATGCCTCTTTAACTGCGATGGAATCCTGGGATTTGTACTTTGGTGAGGCCCCACCATACTTTGGATCTTGGATCTTACAAAAATACAGCTCTAATGATTCCATAGCATTGACTCACAGGCCATTAAAGTGGTGCCAAACTGTATTAACTCATCAGTGTGGATGTATTTGTGGTGTCGAACTGTATTGATTCGTCAGTGTGGGCGCACTCTCCATGAGACACTGAAGACAGCCTCTGACATTATCTCTTGCGTGTATCAGCTTGTGTTGATTGATTTCCCCGAGGTGTCGCTCACTATTTACATCAGGCACGAACCAGTGTTTTCTGCCCTACTTTCCTAGCACACCCTGGCATCTTATCTCCCTCCCCAAGTTCTGCAATTAAGCACTAAACTCCCATTCATGCCTCTACTTGTATTAGTATTTAGTATGAAAAGCGGGAGCTGAGAAAGCTTTCTTTCCTGCTCCTTTCACAAAAGAAAACATGGAAAATAGTCACATTAAGGATCTCATCACACTGGAACATGTGGTTCTCCACCTGTGGGTCTCCAGATGTTTTGGCCTTCAACTCTAACAGCTGGTGGTGCCGTGGGTTAAATTGCTGAGCTTGTTGACCGAAAGGTCGTAGGTTTGAATCCGGGGAGCGGTGTGAGCTTCCACTGTCAGCCTCAGCTTCTGCCAACCTGGCAGTTCAAAAACATGCAAATGTGAGTAGATCAATAGGTACTGCTCCGGCGGGAAGGTAACAGCGCTCCATGCAGTCATGCCAACCGCATGACCTTGGAGATGTCTATGGACAACGCCAGCTCTTCAGCTTAGAAATGGAGATGAGCACCACACCCCAGAGTCAGACAGGACTGGAGTTAATGTCAGGGGAAAACCTTTACCTTTAGGCTAAAAACACCTGGGAACCCACAGGTTGAGAACCACTGCACTAGAGAATGAATCCACTTTAAATCCGGTTTCTGCCTCCTGCAGAATTCTGGGGTTTGTAACTTACCGTGGCTGTTAAAGGCTCCTCCCTAAACTGCAAACCCCAGAATTCTGCAGGAGGCAGAAACCGGATTTAAAGTGGATTCATTCTGTAGTGTGATGAGGTCCTAATACGACACTGGTCACTTTCAAAGGCTGGGATGTGGAAAGGATCAGGGAGAGGTTAAGAAGCAGTTGAGCATCTCTTATCTGGAATGAAGGCAGTTTGGCACCACTTTTAACTGCCATGGCTGAATGCTAGTCAACCCTAGAGTTTTTAAGCTTGATCTCTTTGGCAGAGAAGGCTAAAGACCTTGCAAAACTACAACTCTAATGATTCCATAGCATTGAGTTGAAAGTAGGGGTCCAACTGCATCCCAGCTGCAGGTGTGTCCCCTCTCCAAACTTACTTTGAGCTGCGACTTGGAGACTTTGCCGCTCTTCTCGGTGTCCAAGGCGGTGAAGGCGTACCAGATGGACTTCAAGAGCTCGGCTCGCAGCTCCATGATGCCGGGAAAGAGAAAGAAACGGCCGCTGACAACCCCGTCACCGCCGCTCAAGCTCCGCAGCCAGGCGCCTCCTCCTCCGCCCTTCCCTCCTTCGCTCGCAGGAAGCGCGCCGCAGCCCTCCGCGGGAAACCGCTTGTGCCGCAGCGCCATCTGCTGGTCACAAACGCAACAGCACCTTCCCCTGCTCCCCTGGCATGGGGCTGACCTAGCAATGCTTCTGGGTACATCTATACCAAGCAGGGGCAAACTTGGGCCTTCCAGGTGTTTTGGACTTCAACTCCCAGCATTCCTTCCATTTCTCCTTAGCCACGTAAGCTTGGCTAGTCCACATAAGTCCAAAACACCTGGAGGGCCCAAGTTTGCCTCCGCCATCAACTCCACATTGTCCGGATGCCCAACCACTGTCTCCTAAAGCAGTTGCTCAACTCTGAACTCAAGAACGGAAAATGGAATGTTGGAGGGCAGGAAAAGAGATTTAAAGACAGGCTCAAAGCCATCCTTAACTCTGGCATAGATACTGAGAACTGGGAAGCCCTGGCCCTTGAGCACTCCAGCTGGAGGTCAGCTGTGACCAGTAATGCTGTAGAATTTAAAGAGGCACGAATAGAGGGCGAAAGAGAGAAACATGCCAAGAGGAAGGCGCATCAAGCCAACCCCGACCAGGACTGCCTTACACCTGGAAACTAATGCCCTCACTGCGGGAGAAGATGCAGATCAAGAATAGGGCTCCACAGTCACCTACGGACCCACCACACACTGCACACAGACCCTGGAGCAGTGCGTCTCAACCTGTGGGTTCCCAGATGTTTTGGCCTTCAACTCCCATAAATCCTAACAGCTGGTAAACTGGCTGGGATTCTGGGAGTTGTAGGCCAAACACCTGGGGACCCACAGGTTGAGAACCACTGCCCTGAAGGATCATCCTACTCGCACAATGAGGGATCACCTAAGAAATTAAGTAAGCCCATGCCTCATCTACACTACTTATCTACACTGCCCAAAGGATATGGATGACGGCCCAGAGAAACCAAAGAAACATCTTGCATCCTCTGAGTCCATCTACACCAGGCATGGGCCAACTTGGGCCCTCCAGGTGTTTTGGACTTCAACTCCCACACTTGCCTGCCAGCAATAAGTTCTTTACACTAGTAAAAGCTTTCTGCTTTATACACCAGTGGAATCAATAAATAATAACAGAAACAGAAATGAGGAAATCATGAAAATGAACAAAATCTGGCATTTACAGTGTAGATGCTACCAGTATTAAAAAAAAACTCTCAAAGCAGGACAGTAAATAAAGCAGGGGAAATCAAGACAATAATCAATCACGGCCAGCGAACACCTCCCAACAAAGGATTCCCTCAGGCAGGAAGCAGGCAGGCTTTGAAGCTGCAAGGCCATTAAATGCTAATCAAGATGGCCATTTGCAACACTCACATTTATCTCAAGCAGACAAGATTTCTATCTTCCACCCTGGATATTCCACAAATAGATAAACCTCATTTGCCTAATTTCCAACAGACCTCACAACCTCTGAGGATGCCTGCCATAGATGTGGGCAAAATGTCAGGAGAGAATCATAGAATCAAAGAGTTGGAAGAGATCTCATGGGCCATCCAGTCCAACCCCCTGCCAAGAAGCAGGAATATTGCATTCAAATCACCCCTGACAGATGGCCATCCAGCCTCTGCTTAAAAGCTTCCAAAGAAGGAGCCTCCACCACACTCCGGGGCAGAGAGTTCCACTGCTGAACGGCTCTCACAGTCAGGAAGTTCTTCCTCATGTTCAGATGGAATCTCCTTTCTTGTAGTTTGAAGCCATTGTTCCTTGTCCTAGTCTCCAAGGAAGCAGAAAACAAGCTTGCTCCCTCCTCCCTGTGGCTTCCTCTCACATATTTATACATGGCTATCATATCTCCTCTCAGCCTTCTCTTCTTCAGGCTAAACATGCCCAGTTCCCTAAGCCGCTCCTCATAGGGCTTGTTCTCCAGACCCTTGATCATTTTAGTCGCCCTCCTCTGGACACATTCCAGCTTGTCAATATCTCTCTTGAATTGTGGTGCCCAGAATTGGACACAATATTCCAGGTGTGGTCTAACCAAAGCAGAATAGAGGGGTAGCATTACTTCCTTAGATCTAGACACTATGCTCCTATTGATGCAGGTCAAAATCCCATTGGCTTTTTTTGCCGCCACATCACATTGTTGGCTCATGTTTAACTTGTTGTCCACGAGGACTCCAAGATCTTTTTCACACGTACTGCTCTCGAGCCAGGCGTCGCCATTCTGTATCTTTGCATTTCATTTTTTCTGCCAAAGTGGAGTATCTTGCATTTGTCACTGTTGAACTTCATTTTGTTAGTTTTGGCCCATCTCTCTAATCTGTCAAGATCGTTTTGAATTCTGCTCCTGTCCTCTGGACTATTGGCTATCCCTCCCAATTTGGTGTCATCTGCAAACTTGATGATCATGCCTTCTAGCCCTTCATCTAAGTCATTAATAAAGATGTTGAACAGGACCGGGCCCAGGACGGAACCCTGCGGCACTCCACTTGTCACTTCTTTCCAAGATGAAGAGGAAGCATTGGTGAGCACCCTCTGTGTTCGTTCACTTAATCAATAACAGATCCACCTAACCGTAGTTTTGCCTTGCCTACATTGGACTAGTTTGCTTGCCAGAAGGTCATGGGGGACCTTGTCGAAGGCCTTACTGAAATCAAGGTACGCTACATCCACGGCATTCCCTGCATCTACCCAGCTTGTAGCTCTATCGAAGAAAGAGATCAGATTAGTCTGGCATGACTTGTTTTTGATAAATCCATGTTGAATATTAGCGATGACTGCATTTGTTTCTAAGTGTTTGCAGACCGCTTCCTTAACAATCTTTTCCAGAATCTTGCCCTGGTATCGACGTGAGGCTGACAGGACGGTAGTTGTTTGGGTCATCCTTTTTTCCCTTCTTGAAGAATGCTTCTGGAACATGGCAGTACAGCCCAGAAAACTCACAGCAACCCAATAACAGGAACGTTGTGTAGTGTAAGCATCCTGGAAATGTCTCCAACAGCAATTTGTGCATGGACAGAATATGTTGTATGTAGATCGAGGTGTCTCTAGAAAGGTTACAGAAGCATTAAGAAGTTCTAGGAATTTGGAAAGTAAGTGTACCTTTAATACATAAATTGATATGAACCTTCAATTCCATCAAATGTAACTCAGAGGGGGGAGCCCACTCAACTGTGTAACCTGAAGGTGTTTTTGTTTTGTTTTTTACTTTTCTGAAATGTTTGCATTAGAGGCTGTCCTCAACTTCCTATGGCTTTGGGTTTAAATACATATTGCAAATATTTCCCTCCCCCCAAAATGTGACGTTCCAGCCTGCAAATCCAAGCTGTCTAGGTTACAGGTGTTTTCTTAACCAACTCTAGCACTTTGCCTCTAACAATAAAACAGCATTTCTAAATTAAATATGTAGCTTTATCCAGTAATTTGTCTCCTTAACAATATTTTTCCAGCCCTTTGCCCCAAGCTGCATTGCTGCTTTAAAGGGGTTTATGGTTTATGAGGATATTGATCTGGCAAAATAAACATGTTTTGTCTCTTGAAAAGACTCAGGATCAGGGCCATACTTTTTTCTCCCCTTTCAAATCATAGCAATCTATTTTTGGCCACAGGATAGGAAATCTTTAGCCACTTCCCTTCCCCTCCAGGGAAAGAAAGAGAAAGAACTGCAGGAGGTGTGAAGTGTAAGAGAATTAGATTTCAGACTCATTGCTCTGCTTATGAAGAGTTTGATCTACACTGTAGAATTAATGTAGTTTGGCACCACTTCAATTGCCATGGCTCAGTGGCATGGTAGTTTTGCAATGTCTTAAGCCTTCCCTGAGAAATAGTCTGGTGCATCACAAAAAGTACAATTCTCATTGTTCCATACATCGAGCTATATCATATCTACGTTTATAGTGTAGATCAGGCATGGGCAAACTTGGCCCCTCTGGGTGTTTTGACTCCGTCCCAGCATTCCTAACAGCCTCAGGCCCTTTCCTGAGGGGGAAAAGGAAAGGGCCTGAGGCTGTTAGGAATGCTGGGAGTTGAAGTCCAAAACACCTGGAGGGCCCAAGTTTGCCAGTGCCTGGTGTAAATGCACCTTCTGAAAATCAGCAAAATGTTTGACTAGGGATATGAAGGGGAGGTCAGAAAGTACAAATAGGTTCAATAGATAACTTGATAACTTGAACCAATCTTTACTAAAGAATAAAACCTCGTTCTGAAATGTCATTTGTCAAAAGGATCTATCATAGACACACAATATTTTCTCTAAAATCAAGTTTTCACATATTTTGGGTTTATAGACTTTCTAAGATTGTTTCCCGGGGGTGAGGTGTTCAGACCAAAAGTGAGACTGGGACGCTGTATTTTACAAGTGACTACCAGAAATGCTTAAAAAGGCAGAATGTCATGGGGTGGATAGGTTTTATTTTGTTCTGAAGCAACTATGTTACACATGAGAAAACTCAATAAACACAACTGTAAGAATGCATGGTAACAATGTTAAATAATATATATACACAAAAAGGGTGGTCTATAGATAAAGATATGTGAGTCATAAATATTTTTGGCCCTTTTCCGGCAACTGTGTTCAGAGACCTGTGCAAAACTAGAAGTTTCAAAGTGAAAATATAAGAGTATAAAACAATATACCGTGGGTTGTTGTGAGCTTTCCAGGCTATATGGCCATGTTCTAGAAGCATTCTCTCCTGATGTTTCACCTGTATCTATGTGCATCCTCAGAGGTTGTGAAGTCTGTTGGAAACTAGGAAAATTGAGTTTATATATCTGTGGAATGTCCAGGGTAGGAGAAAGAATCTTGTCTGTTGGAGGTAGGTGTAAATGTTTCAATTGGCCACAGACAATTCTGATTTGAAATTAGCAATTTTGTTTTCTACTGGGATTCTGGTGGTGATAACAGCAAAATTGCCTCCTTTTGCTAGTATGGATACTTGGTCTTCAGAGAGTTGTGGCTTCTGGAACATAATCATACAGCCCAAAAGCTCAGAATAACCCAGTGATTCCAG